TAAAACTGGATTACCTCCAATCCAAAACTTAGACATAACTGGAGATACTACATATTATACGATTGTAGTTTGTAAATAGTATATCACGATCCTCTTCCACTGCGACCATCTCTAGCCTATTACGGATCTTCATGATCATACATTTCCTCATGTAACTTTAACCTTCTAATGAGGCTTTATAGTTTCGACAGTGACTTCATCACATACTTATATACAAAATGTTATAAACAACTGATCTTGATTCATGAACAGTCAAAAAGTGTCTTCATTAGTTTGAACGAAGGAAAGAATAAACTGTTTATATCTGGTAGTTATTACCTGGATATCATGTGCTCATGGTTTTCTCAATTATATTAATTGCGACCAGTTGCTGAACGCCGAACTCTAAATGCAATAAGCAACAAGCTATATCTCGGATGCCATTCAATATGTGATTTTAAGGTAAAAAATATTTTAACAAATATGACTAAAAAGTTGTTTTAAAATATTTACAGGTTCCTGATTTCATCGCTGGGGATCACAGTTGCCTAGATTGAATTTCAAGTTTAGTAATACGGATTTTGTCTCAAAATGGCAGTTTGGGTTGTGGTAGATACGTTCTCAATATCTAGGAATTTTAGATATTACAAAAACCATCAATATTTCCAAATGCCGTGCATACATTGTAGGTCAGAAATATACTTTTTTTAATCTCTGTTCAATGCGGTTTTTTCCCAGTTATCATGGCATCATGGACATGTTGATTTTTTTAAATTTTAATTATACTGTGATTTGAGTTTGTCTTTTCCGAATTTAATTTAATATAGTGTTACTCATTTTAAAGGACTCGAAAGATTATTTGTATGTTCAGTGATAGAAATATTTTTTAATATAGTGTTATTAATCAGTCCAATTCCTAAAAAAAATGCAAATATAATAATTTTGCTTTGGCTACCAATTAAGAAAAATAATTATAAAGGCAAGAAATCCACATCTCTTTCCGTTTTAAAATTAGTATTACCTGACGTTGACATGTTAACAAATACAAAGAAATTGTTGAAACAAAATTTATAGGGAACTGAAATTATAAAAAGTGTGCAAAATACTATATCCAAGATATTTTAATATACGGATAACTTTTTGTAATACCATAACAAAAAAAATATTGCATTAAACTTTTCTGACCATATATTGCATAATAAGTGTAAATGACGGTAGGCAACTGTATTAACAATTGATTTAAGTGACTGTAGATGGCGATATTTTGCTGTAGTCGTTTCTATGGTTTCTGTACATGCGTGGTAAACACGAGTTTTATATGTATAACAACAATTATTGTGTTTTTCTCGAAACTCGTTTCCTGAACTAGTGTAAGCTCTATCGACTTTTTCTTTTTTTTTTAATTTAAAGTAAATTAAATTCATTTTAGGATATACTAACAAAATAGGGAAAAAATATTTTATATTTTTTTAACACCTTCAACAAATTTAAAAAATTGAAAAATTGTGACTAAAATTCGTATGTCTGCTGTTTTTTTCTTTTCGGGTTTTTATTGATTTTATTAGTGTATCTTCCAACTACGGACATATATTTAAGAAAAAAAAAAATATTTTCGGTTTCAGATATTTGCGATTTCTGCAGCTTACACAAAGTGGGCCTCTTTTTTGAAGGTGATGACGGCGTACAACATATAACTGGCCACCATGACAGTATTTTGTACCAACATTTTTTTAACTTAAATACATCTTAATAAATATGTAGCAAAAAATCCCCAGCATTGTATTTTTATCGCCTTTGAATGAAAAAATCCTGTAAATTTTCTCATTTTTTTTATTAAATAGATGCAAATATCTCCTTAATTGCGAATAAAAAGTATTTTCCATTATTGAAACATTAGAATTAAAAATAAAATTAAATCATGGCACACTAAGAAATTTTAACTACTAAAAGTTTTGTTTGTAGGCTTCCGTTGCTGTCGTTAATGGTTGAATGATTTCCCACGTCGTCGATTTAAAACTCTTGACGTTTCGAGAGACTTATCGCTCTCTTTTTCAGAAGTTACTCTGAAACAGTTTCAGTTCTCGAAACGTCAAAAGTTGTAAATCGACTACGTGACAACCAGCCCGGAAATCATTTAACCTATAACTGTAAAAAAACAAACTAAATATTTTTCAGACCTCTTGTATCTAGTAGGAACTCCGTATATTAGATACATCCTATTTGAAGCAACAAGGATGTTTAATTTCAGTAATATAAGTGAAAGTTTACATATTTCGTACATTCGACAAGCCAAACCCATAAAATAAATAGAGAAAACTATATACGTTCCCTCTTTTTTACAGTTTTGATTCACCGCTAAAATAAACATTGCAACAATAAATACATTGCCAACCGATTTTCCACGAATCTCTTTGGGACGTACCGTAAAATACCACAAAATTAAACACAGTAAGGCTGGTTAGTCATCCATTAAATTTAAACCGAACAACCAAATCTAATGGGCCTTGTTCAGTACTACACTGTTGACGCTCGCCCTTTAGAAACCAACAGAGTATTACAAAATTTGTAGAAATGACGAAAATGTCATGCTCGACAGTTGCTCAACACCATAACGTTCATAGTCACGGATTTTCCTGCAGTCAATTCTCTTAATTCTGTGGCGCACCGACTGAAAAAATAGGAAACCCCTATTTTTCTGTTCTTAGAAGTTCACAATTCAGCCTTCAACGCGGTGAACACATTTAGTTCCCACGCAGGATGCATTTTTTTCAAATTTAGCAAACTACCTAGCTAGCATTGCGGTTAGGAAGCTGACAAGTAGGATGATATTTGAACTATTATTTACAAAACAACTCTTTACTGAAACTCAAATTTTCAGGTTTTGCATTGTTTTATGTACTTTTCTTATTTTGAGGAGTTGTCTTTTATCGAATATTTTTCGAGAGAACTGTTTTAAATTTTCTTAATAGAATGAATAGTAACAAAATATAATAATGTCATTTATTTCCAACAGGTAAACATAGCAAATGAAAAATAATAATAGAGAACAGTTACACTTATAATCATAACAAAACCACTGAGTTTATTTTGACAAAATCTGTTTTGTATAAGAGAAAAGTAGAAAAAATAAATAAGTAAATTTGAATAACAAGGTAGGTATATCTAGAATTGCTCGTTGTTGTAAACAACGTGTTTTATTGTATTCAGTGATGAAAAATTAATATCGCAGTAATTACAGATTTTATTAAAACGATAACATGCATTATAAATAGGTACTATAAGTAAAATATTAGTTCTAGGTTCTAGGCCTATCACAGTAAAATGTTTTGTTATATCTTGAACCAGCATACGGTACTAAAAATTGTATCTTACTAAGGAGACTACTACAATTTACGTTATGTATTAAATATTACAAAAATGATATAATTGACCATATCCGGCGCCGATCAAGAGAAATAGTATCAAATCTGTCCAATAATATTTGATGATTATTAGATGGCATTTATCCCTGGCGGGATAAATGCCATCTCCCTTAAAAGAAATGTATTTAAAAAACCTCTCTGAACAGATTGGATACTATCAATGTGACACTGATAAATTGGGAACCAAATAATTGATCCGTACTCAAGCTTACTCCTAACCAAGGTATAACACAAAATTTTTAAGGTACTAATATTTCTAAAATCTTTGCAGTTCCTTAATATAAAACCTAAAGTCCTATTGGCATTACTAACTAAATGATTAATTTGAGTAACAAAGGTAAGATTAGAGTCAAAGAAGATGCCTAAATCTTTTATGCAATCACTTCTTGAGATTGGAATATCATTAAGTGTATAATCATAATTATAAATTTGTTTTTTCCTGGAAAATGATACTACATAACATTTGGTTATATTTAACATTGAACGATTTGAATTACACCATTTGCCAATTAAGTTGGCTTGATTCTGTAAATATCTACAATTTTTCTCATTCTCAATACTTGTAAAATTTAAATCATCTGCAAAAAGAAGATTATTACAAGATAGACTCTTCGGTAAATTATTAACAAACAAGAGAAACAGTAAGGGCCCTAAATGCGAACCCTGTGGAACGCCAGAAGTAACTTTAAATTTTGACGAAGTGAAACCCTCACACTTAACAAACTATTGTCTCTCTGTTAGGTACGATTTACGAAAATTAACAAAATTATTTGATAACCCAATACTATCAAGTTTAGCAAGTAACACGTAGTGATCAACCTGGCCAAATGCTTTGCTAAAATCCATATATAACACATCAATCACATCTTGGTGATCAATATTCTCGCATATGTATTGAGAAATGCATGCCAAGTTTGATACACAAGAACGTTTATTTACAAATCCATGGTGACTCTGGGAGAAAATATCTTTGGTTCATAAAGTATTATTTCAAAGAGTTTTGAAAAATTGCATAAGATTGAAACAGGCCTATAATTAGATATTATAGATGGATCACCTTTTTTTAATACCGGATATATGCGTGCTACTTTCCACACATCTGGATATGTTACTGTAGATAAAGAGAGATTGCATATAAATAGCAAATTAACTACTAAGACCTGACCACAGTCCTTCACAACAAAACTAGGTATAAAATCTGTACCAGATGTCATTTTATTTTTAAGTTTTTTAAGGGCGTTAAAAAAATCCACCTCTGTAATAATTGGTATATTATTATTCTTGCTAAAACTGTGCGCCATGTTAAATGTTTCATAATTAAAATCAGGTGTCACATAAACACTACGAAATTAATCAGCAAATCCTTCAACAATAGCTTGAGAATTATCATACTGAATATCATTGAATTTCATTACACCCGGAATATTAGAATGCCCCTTCTTATTTTTTACAAATGACCAAAATTTAGAGGAATCAGATATAATGGGCCGTTCAGAATTCTCCATAAAACTTTTATATGCCTGTCCAATTTGAATTTTAAATGTATGCCTTAAATTACTGTAATTAAAATATGATGATATATGCTATATTTTGTTTCAGGATGAAAGACGGAAAGCCCTACCCCTGGGCATTACATGTTTCTGATCTAATCTTATTCCCCGAAAGTGCCAACCAAACCATCTACACGCAATCGGTTACAGAAGAGGATGCTGGCAATTACACTTGTGTACTTAAAAATGACACCGTGGTTCATGTCCACACCATTCATCTGAGAGTTTTCGGTAAGATATTTTACAATTCATTTTAAAGTAGAGGCAGAGTTTAATACCAATTAACATATCTTCAATTCACTTACTTTAACTCTCGCTGGGCTTCGTAAATTTGTATGCATATACAAGACAGTAAAGACAGTAAAATAAAATGTTACTTTATAGTCATTTATTTAGTAAAATCAACAGAATTTCCTTTTTGATAGCGTTAAACAAATATAACACATATTTTTTTTGTTGTTTTCCTAAATAGATTCCTATTTTAATCAAAACTGAGATTCCAAGTTATAGTCCAGCAGTATATGTATAGAAGTACTTGCAGAAATTACTTAAATATGCTCGAATAGGAAATTAAATTTCAAATGGAGTTTCTTCTTCTTTAGACTCGATCCAAAATGGCGAACATGGCCAAAAAAATTCGCAAAGTTGCATAAAATTGTTTCTATTAAATAACTAAACAACTATAGCTGCGATCGAAAAGTTTAAATGAGAAAGTTGTAGATGTTAAAAATATTTATCGACTGATTTTTCATAAGTATCGACCGCTTTGTTACTTTTCGAGATAGGTATATCGGAAACGTTAAAAATCTACATGTTCAAAAATTAAAAATATTAATTTTACGAGATACAGGGTGTCTGAAATGAATGCAACAAAATTTGATCACAGATTCTCAAGACAAATTACAGAGGCGTTTTATGACTTGTGAAATCTGATGGTGCTACACTTTTTGACGGGGAACCCCCTTAAGACAATTTTTCGTGAGCCCCCTTGTCTTTGAATACAAAAATATGTGATCGCATAATTAAATTTAGAAACTTTTTGTCTCTTGATACTTTTTTCGTAAAACGCAATGTTTTCGAGAAAAATGTCGAAATGAGATCGATTGCATTTCGTGATTCGCCATTTTCCTCAAAAACATTGCGTTTTACGAAAAAAATATCAAAAGACAAAAAAGTTTCTAAATTCAATGGCTTTTTAGCTAACTAATAATTTTTAAGAAATTCACATTTGCGACCAAATTTTTTTGGTTCCAAAGACAATGAGGGCTCACGAAAAAGTGTCTTAAGGGGGTTCCCCTCCAAAAAGCGTAGCACTATCAGATTCCACATGTCATAAAACCGGTGTGTACCAAATTTAATGATTCTCGGGTTCTGAGATTATTCTTAGGGGCAGATTTCAGGGGGCTGTAACTCCGAAAGAGGGGGCCACTTGGTAAAAAGAAAAAATACGCATCCCCTAATTTTGTCTTAAGAATATATAACCAAATTTTGTTGCATTAATTTCGAGACATCCTGTATATCGATTTTTTGAAAAAAAAGGCGCTCTCAAAAATTGCATAGATCTCAGTGGATGGCTTTACAACAACGATTTTTGGCTTATTTTTTTCGTAGACAGTTGTATTACCATACTATTAAATAATTGTTACGATTGTTAATTTTAAGGATCAAAAAATGATTTTGAAAAAATTGTACTATTTTGGGCATTTTTTTCAAACAACTATTTCAATTTTTATTTTATAACAATGACTTAAATAAAGAAGTTGCTGATATTTTTTACGAATTAAAAAAATATAGTCATTTTCGCATTAGAAGCAAAATGGTCCCGGAAATATTTAATTTTTATTTAACTACATTTTTTTACTTTTATTCTCATTTTAATAATTATAACGTTTGTTCGGCACATTTGCAGCATACTGTTGCTCGATTTTCTTGCGATTCTTCGTCGTTTTGTTCACTTTCTGAATTTTCTTGTTCTTCCAAATAATCAGAATATTCGTCTGTTTCATTCTCCCTAAAATAGTCATCCTCATCTTCGCCTAAAAGAAATTTATTCGCCTCCTCATCTAACTCCTTCTCAGTCAAGAGATCTTGCCAATAATAATAATTGTTTTCCATGTTATCTGATATTAGATTAGATTAGATGTTTTATTTTGTTTTGAGACAATTACTAATTGTATAACAATAGTCACTTATGCGTATAGCAGATATTTAAAGTAAAAACTAATGTAGCTTAACCTAGGAAGCAAAAAACTCACCCAAGGAATAAAAACATTTGGTCACTAAATAGAATTTTAACATTACTTTAAATTGATAAAATGATACTTTATCTTGTCTTAATTCAAAAGGTGATTTGTTAAAAATTTTAGGCCCCAAATAATTTGGTGACTTATTGGTAATTGACAATTTAGAAAAAGGTACCCGAATATTATTCTTATGCCTTGTGTTTACACCATGTATGTCACTACTTAAATAAAATTTTTGCCTATTTTTAAAAACATAAATACACATATCAAATATAAATAACGAACTTAAAGTTAAAATTTTGTATTGTTTAAAAATATCTCTACAGGTATGTTCACTAGGTACACCAGCAATATTGCGCAAAATACGCTTCTGTGAAATAAAAACAGAATGTGAGAGGGTGGAATCACCCCAGAAACAGACACCATAACGAAGACGCGATTCTACTTGAGCATAATATAAATTAATTAACTGATTTTTTAATAAAATTGTTTTCATGTTTTTAAATAAAAAATTTATTGAACTTAAAGTGGAAACGAGATGGTTGCAATGCACTTTCCAATTAAGGGTTTCGTCGAAATAAATTCCCAGAAATTTAACACTGCCTAAAGTGTCATTCTTAATGACACAGTTATTAATTTTTATTGTTAGGTCGTCACATTTTCTCTGTCTATTATGAAACCTTATTATTTGCGTTTTATTTACATTTAAATATAAATAGTTCTGATTAAACCATGCACATATATTTTCAATCGTTTTATTAATACCGATGTTAAGATTTTTATCCGAGTTACTTGAAATAATCAGAGATAAATCGTCGGCATACATGGTAAAAGCTACGTTACCTATTACATTTTCTATTGAATTGACATATAAAACAAAAAGCACAGGTCCCAGAATAGAGCCCTGCGGTACTCCCATTTCAATTAAGCTATAATCAGAATTGATCTCATTCAAAGTATCGGAATTAATGTGTTGTATAGAGACATATTGTTTCCGAAATTTTAAAAAACACAGTAACCAGTTCAACGGAACACCTCTTATGCCATAATCATAAAGTTTGGTAAGTAAATTATCGTGATTAACGCAGTCGAATGCCCTACTAAGATCACAGAAAATCCCGACAGGGCACTCGCCTGCATCAATACATCTAATGACTTCTTCGTAAAAAGAGTGTGTAGCTGTTATAGTGGACCGCCCTGAACGAAATCCGTGTTGGTTGTTAGTTAAAATTCTTGTTCTGTTTAAAAAATTTGTCAAACGTTCTAAATAAGCATATTCAAAAATCTTTGAAAAGCAGAGAGGAAGAGTATGATATAAAATTTTATACATATTTTTTACTAAGCAATTATATTTTGGGTTTGAAAATCACTAAAATAATAAAGCTAAAGTTACTTGAAATGCGCTATGGGGTCCAGCAGACCCCACACGCACTTTTGAGTCGCTGCAAGTTAAATGCAAATAAAACTTGTGAGTGTGCTGAGACCTACAATTAGTAGACTCAGTAACTTAGATTTACACCAGAAGGTGTAATATATATTTCTATTTGAAAATAGCCTTTAATTAATAAAAGTGAGGGGTCTACATAACCCCGTGATACCTTCCAAAGGTTAATACTACGTCAACTTGATTAACTGAGTAACTGAGTTTATGATAAATTAAAATTGAGGATGTTATACGTAGTTAAAAGTATTTAGATAAGTTAAAGGAAGCAATAATAAAAGTAAAAAAATTGTAAATTATCTTTCTTAAACGAGTTACGATTGATGCGTTGTCACTTAAATTTTATACGCATAACAATCTGCCATAATTTTATTAAAAATTAATCCAAATACAAATAGATAAGCGGCGGTTCCGTAAAGGTATAGTAGTGATATCAATGTCAATTCGTCGTAGTCCTAAAGCAGAAGTGGCACTATTCCCCATCAAATTTTAACACTCGTCTTCTATTACCTGAGAAGTATATATAATATTGTCATCACGTATATTTGCTGTGTTTTAAGGTGTGTAAACAATGTTAGGTTGTATTGCCGTGAAATGATAATACCCTTTCGCTTTTATGATTTGAATAATAAGGTAAAAATAAAGGTTATAACAGACAGACAGTGAAATTGTGCACTATTAAAAGAATTAGAGCATATTTCCAACGCATTTGAACGCATATTGTGATCTATTTTTGCAAATATTATGATAATATGTATACTAAATCCCTTTGTATTGTACGTATTTACGCTGTCTAAAAATAACTAGAAAATGAAAACTCCATTTTCGCGCTTTACATTACCTTTCTCCATACGTACATAAATGTTTTACTTTCGTGTGTTGGTAGTTTAGATAACTTTAAAAGGTCGGTATTACTGTTTTTGTTTTTTGATCGTTTGTAAGCGTCATATGAACTTATTAATTAATTATTTAATTAATATGTAAACAGTCAGGCAATAGATGATAGATGTTACAGAAACTCTGATGAAGTAAGTATATATATAAGCCTAAAATACTTCCGTAGTACTAATTGATCAAAGTCATTAATTCTTGAGTAGGTATAGCTTAATGGTTGTAATTAATGGGCACTGAAACCTTTATTCATTTAGGTTTTCAGTCAAGACAAATATCCTTTTTCCAAATTGCTACACACGTTTAGCTCACTAACAAACAATTTGTTGAATAATGTAGAAGATACCGCTTCTTCGCGCAAATACATAAATACAATTATTTGTTAACATCAGAAAATATTGTCAAAAACAATTTTTCAAACATGGCTTCATTTTAGTAATTGTATTTATCTTATCTTGATAAACATCGGAAAGACCATATAAAAGCTATTTAGCAGCTGCCACAACAATGTGTCTAATAATTATAATAAAAAAAAATCTGGAAAATACTCATACAACTATTACGAAAATTAAATTTTAATGAGCCAGGAAAGAATAGGCTGAAGTCCCAATTTCAATATTTAAAGTTTTTCCAAAGTCAATTGAAGAACCTATAAT